TTAACCTGTGAGGGGTTGTTTCCCCAATCTTGGCATTTTTGAGGTGGGGGCTCCCCAACCCCCGATTCCCCCAGGCGACGGTGGGCTGGCTGGGGAATTCTGGGAGTTGAAGTCCACTCATCTTAAAGTGGCCAAGTTTGGACAACACTGCAGTAGAGAGTTAAATAATCTTTTAACAAATATGTGTGAGTACTTAGAGATTCAAAATAAGAAAACAGGGAATGTGGCGGGTGCCAAAGTTAGACATTTTTTCAGCTAGTATTTTGTAACACCTCCCTTTCTATAGCCAGCTAATAGTCTTTCTACTCTTACTTTTGGATTTCCCCCCACTTTTCCTTGCAGAATTCTTCTAGCTTGGAACTATTCTTATGTCTCCTTGCATTCACTGGGTGTTTGAGATCTCCCTTCAAATTTTTAATAATATTCCACTCTGAGGATTGTGAAGCCTGTTCCAAAGCCTTTATCTTTTTTGCCCTATACATATTTCACAGTTGATTTGTAGTTAGGTTTCAGATTGTTGTTTTGGTGAAATATTCAACTTTTGAACTTCAACTTTTTTACTGACTGTGGAACATTAGCTGACATCCTGACATTTAGTTGAATCTATTTCTTCTTCTATTTGCACAATATTTCTTGTACCACTGGCTGCCACACAATCATAAATCACCAGAGCCACCCTTGTGCAAGGTGTTCATCTCCTGAAATGTTTCACCCTTTTTTCTCGAAATGTATCTTGCATGGTTGTGGCCAGACAGTTCAGTGTTCTTCTATCGGTCCAAAATAACTTGGTTCCAAAATGTTTCAGGCTCATCAAAGTTTTCTTTGGCATACTTTAGATGATGAGTTTTGTGATGAAGTTGGATAAACATTTCATTTCTGACAATTCTATGCAGGTCATGGCCCTGTGAACAACTACTCTAGTGTCAGTTAAACTGTTCAGCAGGTCATTCACAGTGATCTGTGGGTTCTGTTTTACAGATCTGACTGGTTTTCAGGCAATTCTAACAGAGTTTTTTCTTAGTCATCTGGTAGCCTTCAAGAATCCCACATAACTTTCTTAGCAATGGTCTTCACAATTGAAATTGGTAGTTGAAAATGTTTAGAAAGGTTTTTTAAGGCATTTGACTCTTTGCAAGAATGAATTATGTTAATTTTCAAATATTCAGATGGCTGCTAAGAGTTTATGGTTTTGTTTTGTTTTTTGAAGTTAGACAGAATAATAATCATAATCTGAGAGATTAGAACAGTCAGAATTTGTTCCCCTGTAAAATTGTCTTCCCCTGGCTATTTGTAGACCTAATTAATAAATTTAAGTAAAAAGGAAAAGGAAAAAAAAAAACAAGTAACACTGTATCAACAGGGTGTTTAAACTTCTATCCTGATTCAGTGTTTTCTATTCTGAATCTATAAACTACACAACTACACAACTACACAAAAATAGTAAATATGCACTCAAATTTGGAGAAAAATGTTGTGTTTAACTTTGTACCACACAGAGGTTGTGTCAGCTTCTTTTTGCAGGAAAATATTGAACATACAATTGACCAGGATTTTGCCTAAATGTTTGTATGCACCTCTATCTGCTATATTATTATGGGAATGTGAGGTTGCATATATAGTACAAACAAATGTGGTATTGAGCCCAGAAACTGCCATGCAAATAAGAAGGCATTGCCATGTGGACCAAATGCCCTTTAGGTAGCTACATTCTAATGCTGTTCTACTTTTGGATTAACTTTGATTTAATAGTAAATAGTATTTTAAATGTAGACCAACTTTATTTTGATTCACATTTGATCATCAAAGATGTCATAGAATAATGGTCTGAATGAAAAATAAAAGGGTTGGACATAAACAAGTTTTAAAAGGTTCCAGTACTCACAGTCGGGCCGCTACCGTTACTGCCCCACTTTGTACTAAACAGCATAAAGGTCACACGGCCCATCTAGCATGAGGCTTTACCAGAAGTCTTCTTTGTTCACAGACACAAATATCTCAGCATGGAATCTATTTTTTTCACTTTCCAAACTTCTGGCTTAGTTTTCTTTCTAAACATCACATGCGGTGTCTAATTAGATTTGACAGCAGGTGATCTGTAATCAAATATATTGCCATGGTTTAAAATCTAATGAGAGCGAGGAAGGGAGCAACTGCAATTGGAACATGTCACTGAGGGTGGGGTGTGCCATTTTCCTGGGTGGTTTATAACAATTTTAGCCTGTTATCTGTTAAAAGTAATTGCAATATCATCTGCATTGCTTATATTTGTCACAAGGTTCTGTGGGTTTGTGGTGCTCTTTATGGGCAAGTTATTAAGATGGGAACCTAAATCATTCAAATATTCGGACTATTGAATATACTTAGATAAAATGGCAGATCAATTTATGGTGGCATGCCTTTCCCTTTTGAAGACTACTATTACTACTTCTAATACAGTTACTACTAATAATAGAATTTGGCAAGTACAGTACAAGCCAAGTTCATTATACCCCAGCCTTACCTTAACATTCTAAATGAATCACCAAGATTTTCTGAGCCACAGACATATTTATTTTCCCAATATAAGACTTTGTTCTTTAGTATTTAGATTGATTAATGTTTCAAAAATCATTGTATCCTTTGTAATATACTAGAAGCAGAAATAAATACTTTGTCAACCACCTGTTATTGACACAGTCAACAAAGAAGAGTGACTTTATTAGAAATCTCAGACCAGGGGGAGGCAAACTGGTGCCTTCGAGATTTACTGGAATAGAATACTCACATTTCCCCCCCTTTAGTAATGCTAGCTGAGGCTGATGGAAACTGAAATATAAAATATCAGCAAGGTACAAGGTTAGCTACTCCTGGTCTTTTATATTTCCTGCTTGCCACTATATTATAACCAGCTTTAAAGGTATTTCATAAGGTTGTAGATGCTCATCTATTTCAGCCTTAAAAAACAACAACAACTATTTAACATTATGTCAGTACTGCCAAGAATAGCTGTTTACTATTATACCAAAGGACAATGGAAATCACAAGTATTAACATAAGAATGCATGCACTCTGTTTTGAGGAAGTTTCACAAATTTAGTATATCCATTTGCATCTTTTTAGTCAATACCTTTTCAACAAATTATTGTCAGTCTATATTTTCATAGGAGATGGTTTATCCTCTGTGGTGGTATAAGTAGCTTCTATGATGGGTTTTAAGATCCTTTGCTGTATATTTCTAGAAAGTGTGTAAGAGGGTTTTAAGATCATTTGTTATATAGTTATGGAAAGTGTATAAAGTCAACATCTTAGATCCATGTATCAAGGAAATTTGTTCTCTTGGTAAAAGTAGCCAATATTGCAGTAGTCCTGGGAGCATTTCAGTCAGCCACAATGCTCGTGGGGTGATTTTGGGTCAGTGGGTTATGCTGCTTGCCCAACACGTCCAATATTCTTTACTGCAATTGGAAGCAGTTTCCCAGATTCTCTATAAGTCCAGAGAGAAAGAGAGGGAAGGAGAAAGAGGGAGAGGGAGGGAGAGAGAGAGAGATTTTAAACAGGAAATGCTGGGATCTCATTTTCCTTCATATCAAGCATTCCCCCCCACACCTTTCCTAATGAGTCTACCTCATTCTCCTTTCTTTCTGCTTGCACTCTCTCTCCCTCCCTCCCTCCCTCTCTCTCTCTCATCCTTGTACTAGGTTTAAACAACAGGCTCTTTCTCTCCCTTTCATCAGT